AAATATGCAGCTAAGATTACTGCCACCGACTAAATTAATATCCATTACTATCTCGAACATTTAAAAACATAGTTTAAAAATCCACCGATCAGCTTGGCTGCAGAAGGCCTACCATTTGTGTGTATAAATTTGCGGCCATATGTACCCTCGTATAAGTTAATACGATTCATAAATTATGATTCATAAATTGAGAAATCGAAGACACCAAACGTCGGAATTTCTCGCTTCACCAAAGTTTGGCGGTTTTACACTAACTCGATTTTCAGTGGAATCGATGTTGATGCTGCGCAACGGTGGTTTGGGAAATATAAAAATTACAAAATTTCAACATCACAGTGATGCGGATGCTGACGAAAACGTATAACTATATCCAGAAGAAAACCATATGAAAACAATGAGCTGTTTTTTTCTATCCCTCTCTTTTCGAAATTCAAAAACAAAAGTGTGAAACAGCTGCTGAAAATAAGCACTGAAACACAACTAACAAATTAATGACCGAAAGCGCTGTTTAGCGCATGCTAATAAATCTTGCGACAGGTATTTGCTTAATTTATGAAACACTCAAAATTAGCAAAAAAAATAAAAATTTAGAATTTTCCGCTAATCTTCTCTTTATTGCTTAATTTCTTAGTCGAAAAACAATGTAACAAAGGTCATTGGGTTGTGTGGGGAAAAAATACTCCAAAAGAGTTGCTCAATCGCTAAGCTGCCAAAAGACACAGTTATTAGCGCGTAACAAAGGTGAGAATAATGACAAAATAAATTAAATAAATTGCAAATTCTATAAAAGCCAAAAGCATTGGCAAAAAATCCCATAACAAGCTTTAAACAATTATCTTCAGCTTGAAATCACTCTCCTCTACTGCAGCCAGCTATTTAGTCACCTAGTCAGCTTATTTAATGCGCATGCGTTGCTCACCTAACATCGCCTTTTTTTTGTTTGTTTGTCGCACCCCGCTTAGCGATTGTATCTCTTCATCGTATTTTGCTTTGTTGTGTAGCTCTTGTCTTCTTGTCCAGCACGTGCAACTTAAGAGCTACTAAGGCTTTTGGTCATACAAACTTTCCAAACCACATTCTTCCACTTGTTTATTTATGGGCGTCTATGTTTGTATGGAAACTCGCATCTTTGGCTGCTATGCTATATTCATTCAGTATAATTTACATATGTTAGTTTTTTCTTATACATACATAGGTACATATGTAAATATGTACATTTTTGTATATTTTTCTTTAAATCTTTTATACCATTGCCGCTGAAGAACTTAATGTGTATTTTAAATAAGTTATCAATTAACATAAATCCAGTTGCTGATCTGCATATGTCGCACTTAAGCGGCGGAGCAAGTGGAATAGAAGTTGGCGACCCGCTAGGTATTGACCACCGCTTAGAATAGGTGTATAAGGAATTTTAGAAAATAGCACGCACTTCTGTTTTTGGTTTACAACTATGGCACTTTACCTATTTGTCCCAATTTTATTTATTAATTGCCGCACTTTTGCAAAACAAAATTTTAACCCTTGATGACCGAGGGGTTAAAAGGGGTAACTTTTTAATTAGTGGTTTTATTAAAAAAGTTTGAAAATGTTAACCCTGAATAACCGAGGGGTTAAAATGGGTAAACTTTTTTATAAGTGGTTTTATCAAAAAAGTTTGGGAATTTTAGCCCTTGATAACCGATGGGGTTTGAAGTGGTCACTTTGTGGTTAGTGGTTTTATTATTAAAAAAGTCTGAAAAATTTTAACCCTTGACAAACTGGGGTTAAAAGTGGTCAACTTTTTTAAAAATTATGTTTTATCCAAAAAGTTTGAGAATTTTAACCCTTGATAACAGAGGGCTTTAAAGGGGTAACTTTTTAATTAGTGGTTTTATTAAAAAAGTTTGAAATTTTTATTCCTTGATAACTGAGGGGTTTAAAGGGGTAACTTTTTAATTAGTGGTTTTATTAAAAAAGTTATGAAATTGTAAGCCTTGCTAACCGAGGGGTTAAAACTCTTTAATTAGTGGATTCATTAAAAAAGTTTGAATGGAGTTTTTTGTTTAATATTTATTGATATGTATTAAAGAAAATATGGCAGTTAGTTATAAAAACTATTCATAAAGTGGCTACTTTTGAAAAACGTTATCAAATTATATTATATTAGATTATGTTGAATTGACTGTGAGTAACCAACTAGCACCCCTAGGCCCTTAGATTGTGGGCTTGTTGTAATACCACGCGGTTTGTTAGAACCCTCCTTCTCAAACCATCGTGTTGATTTCTCTCGGCTATGTCGGTTAGGTCTTCGAATATATTAATTTCAATTGAAAACCTGCAAGGTCTGAATTTCTTTACTTGTGTTGAAAAGTTAAAAGGAGCAGCCTTCGCTGTAACAAATGTGTAGACAGCCTTTTGTTTCCGCCATTTACTGAGTCTCTCTCCACATGGTAACTAGTTCACTACTTACAGTATCAAAACTACCTACAAAAAATTGCAACATGAAATTGACAAATTAAAATAAACAATTTTCATTTTATACGTTTCTGATAGTCCAAACTCAGCCAAACATGGCCAGCATTTGCAAATTCAATTTTTTTAGATAATTATTAATCTAAATTAAATTAGATAATTAGTAAATTTAATTAAATTTTACCACCTGCTAAGAAGTTGTGGTTCGCTATTAGATTTGAAGTCTTCTTTATCAAATACCAAAGACAAAAAGTTAATTTTTTTGAGTAAGAAAAATGACTTTGCAAAGCAATGAATGGGAATACTAATAAAACGTAACTGTAGTAACCCTGCAAACCAAAGTTCCCGAAATCTTAAGGAAATCGTTAGGAGTATCTGATTTCTATAACGATTTTTTTACGAATTTTCAAAGAAAATTATATGAAGGGGTTGACACGAACTCGTAAAGAAATTTCTGTAGGAAAAATAAAGAAAATTCTGGAAAAATTCTGAAAGATATTCTTCACATAGCAGCAAGGTACATTGAACAGGTAGTATCAGTAGAGCAGCTGATTTGATTTATTTTCAAATTATTTGGTCTCGAAAATGTCAAATATTTTTAATTTTTTCTCACAAAATGTGAAACCTTTTTCCATACAAAACAAGCGATTGAATAGCTGCTTGTGGAACGTTCGCCCAATTTGGCAGCACAACCGCTGATTACTGGGCCTTGCAAAGGATGGATCAATGCTTCGAGAAGCAAACAAATTTACTAGGAAAGAAAGTTGCATCAATTTGTATTTTTTCCAATTTAAATTTTTTATTTTTTATAATTTTTTGTATTTCACATGGCACGCTTTGATTTAGAAGAAAAAATTCAGAACAGTTTTTGACACTTTCGATACCAGAAGCAACAACAAAATACACGCAAATATTGTTTTTGCTCTACTGATACTACCTGTTTAATGTGCGTTGCATAGCAGCATTATTTTCGTTGCTTCACAGTTTTTCTTCCGAAATTTCGTAAAAGAATGGAAAAAGTGTGCGTAATTTATTTCATTTTAGAAAATTCGGCAAAAAATCGAATTAAATCTTAACGAATTCTTTAAAATTTCTTTACAATGCAGAATACTCTGAAAAAATGGTTTGCAGGGAACATCGATAGTGACAAAAATATCGATACTCATACCGAGATAACGATAGCAATTGAATATCGACAGTAATATAAATAGCGATATCCATAGCGATAACGATATTGATAGCGATGTTTTCAATATAATCCGAAGTAGGTTCTTTCATATTTCATTGCCGGAGACAGTGCAGAAATGACTGAGAACTGGATATCGTTCTAAAAGATGACGAGAGAGAAATGTTTCTGCAATGGACAGTGGAACTGGTACTGGCTTTTTTTTTTATCAGAAACTGTCACTCAGCGAGGCCTATACACCTACAGTTTAATTTAGCGTACAACTGGAGGAACCGGATGAGTACGCCAAAAGGGGTTATCGACCTTTTTGTACGAAATTATACGAACGCGTTTTTTATACTGGCAAAGCGTCGACATGAGAAGCAGCATCAGTGGACCAATCTGCGCACATACACATATTTTCTTTTTCATGTATTTTCCAGTACTCTTAATCCTATTAAACTTCTTGCGACTGCAATTTTTTCCTAGTGGCCTTCTTCTACTTAGCAAGTGAACTGCTTTTGTTCGATTTCTTGAGCATCGATGGCTGCGATTAGTTGACAGAGCAAGTTTATGGCTGGGAATATTATTTTCATGGGAGTGTTTTTTCTAAATTGTTTTCATTTCTTGTACGCTTTGTTATGGCTGTTTTTGTTGTTATTGCCTTTGTGACATTTAGATGCGCTGTTCACTTTTGTTGTAATGAAGCTAATTCTTTTTGTGAAGTGTTGTTGTATGTATGTCTGAATTTGGGTGTTCAATGCGATGCCGCCGTGTTGTTTTAGTAATCTTTTTATTGTTGTAGTGAGGCTTATTGTTATAGTGGCGAGCGCTGTTGTTATTGTAGCGAGCGCTGTTTTTGTTGTAACGATTTTTTGTTGTTCTAAACTTGTTATTATTGTAATTTGCCTTTGTTGTTGAGTTTATACTGTATGCATTGTTGGTATGTATTTAGTTTTGTATAACAACGAGTGTTGTTGTTGTTCCTGCAGCTAACTATTATACATACAGCCGGTTCGCCACTTTGTATTTGTAATAGCACTTAAATTTTTTTGTTTATATTACCTCCGCAGCCGAGGTATTTGTGACTTTACAAACTTATATTAGCTTGTTGGTATTTTGATTGCTATTATTATTGATTCTCGGGTAGTGTTTGAGTGTGTTTTTTTTTTTGCTGCTTAAACTTTTTAATTCAAATTTTTTCCATAAACCAAACTTACAGCGGTTTAGCTCAAATTCTATTTTGAAATTCAATGCAATATTCATATGTAAATTTGATTTTCAGAAAAAATAAAAAAATATTCCATCAGCCGCTGAAATTATCGAGGCATTCTCATAGATTTCGACAAGTTCGTGGCTTCAGTCTTCGATGTCGCTTCGACGCGTCTGGCAGGCTGGCGTAAATTGACGCTTATTTAGTGATATAAGTAAAGTGCGCGCGAAAACACAGATTTCCAAGGCAAAGGAAACAAAGAAGAAGAGTTTTAATTATTCAAGAACGGGCAAGTAAACGGCAGGAAATAATGAATTTGACTTTAGCAGACGCAGCGGAAAATTGCGAAAAATAGAAGTGAATGGAATTAAATGATATTGAATGAGCAAACAACTTTGTAACAACTAACAAGCAAACAACGGCGCGCGCAAAAAAAAAAACGCAAAAGCTAATTAAGTCAAACAATCAAATCAGCAGCGCAGACATTTCGCAGACATTAAACTAATCAAGTACGCGCGCGCGCGCCCCTGTTCTACCTACCCCTTTAGACTCGCGCGCTACCCACACATCTTTCCCGGTTGTTCCTGTGCCGCACTTCGCGTCAACACGCGCCACGAGTAGAATGTGCAAAACGCCAAGCTCGCGTCTGCTGCTGCGTCTCATCGTAGATGTCGTGATTTTAATTGCGCTCTGTTGCGTTGCGCTAATTGCGCTCCCGAAACTCTTGGCGACCACTCGACGTGGCTTCTTTTGCAGCGACGCGTCATTACGTTACCCTTACACCGCTTCGCTACTAAATCGCGTACACATCACCATAGTGGTGATCGCGCTCCCCGCCGCCATCATGCTGGTGGTAGAGATGTTGTGGGCGGCAGTGCGCGCCGCGCGTAAGCAAAAATCCGCAAGTAGCGCTGCGGGCAACACCGTAGTGAGTAAGCGCGCCGTTGGCGCTCAGCAGTTTGTTTTCGTTGGCATTAGCGTGCCAACCTTCGTCAGTGAGTGCTACAAAATTGTGGGCGTCTACTTCTTCGGCTTGGCGCTTGTATTGATAGCGGTGAACGCCACCAAACACTTTGTCGGCCGCTTGCGTCCATACTTCTTCGATGTATGTCAGCCGCAACTGCTAGAGACGCTTGGCGGTGGCACAGCCTGTGATCGCTACGCGGAGGAGGCACAAAATATCACCGGCTATATTGAGGACTACGAATGCTACGAGCTGGCCGCCTCTGCTAACTTGCTCACCATGGCGCGGCATTCGTTTCCCAGTGGATTCACTGCCACCGTTTGCTATGCTATGTGCTTTGTGATCTTCTATCTACAGGCGCGCCTCGCTGCAGGTGCTTTGTTGATATATAAGACGTTGCTGCAGTTTGGTTGTCTAATTTTGGCCACACTGGTTGGCATAGAGCGGTTCTATACGCATCATAATCACTGGACGGATATTGCGGCGGGCGCAGCTTTGGGACTAATAATTGCTGCGTTTGTGACGACTTCTGTGGCCAAATTGTTCAAGAGAATACCGCTGAAAAGGCGCAAGCCGCGTGAGGATTCTACGACCATTTACGGCTATTATGGAGTCAATCGAGTGGCTAGATATCATTGAATTAAATATAAAGTGTTTTGAAATCAAAAATTTTTATTTTGTTTTTTAAGTTAGTTGATTAATATTTCAGTATTGTAATTTTGAATTATACACTTGGTCCTCTTGGCATTATGTTCTTTTTTGTGAGAAGATAAAATGCAACAGAAGAGAATTACGAAAATATATACATAGTAGACCAGGGGGGCGGACACTGCAATTAAAAGCATGAACTTAAAATAGCAGTGTGCTTGTGTTCTTAAGACGGGAAAATCACTAATCGAGAACCAAAGATGAAAAATCACATCCTTCGCGAAGGTATCATATTTTTACTAAATATTGTGGGTTTAGACCTGAAGGGTGTCGAATTATCCTTTAACTCGGCGATTTTAAGCAACGGCCCTGCAACTACCGGTTAAACTCTTTGGGTAAAAACGAACTTTCTGCGACTTGAGGCTCTCCCCTTTTAACCTATTCCTTTCCGCTTTCCGTTTCTCTTGGCCAAGAAAATATATTACGAGTCACGAAGAAGAACGCTACGCCTTTTCAGCAATTCGGTAATCCGCACCATCATATGGAAGAATATATCAATTTAACGAAAGACATCCATTGGTGGTCCGGCAGTAATATGCTTGCCGAAAGAAAATAGGAGCCAGTGGAAGACACGTGAAGGCAAACTCTGATATGCAGGTAGAGTCGAAGATCTCTACAGTTCTACTAATCCCTTCTCTGCTATAATGGTCTGGAAATTAACATCGAAACATATTAAGAAGCCTGATGCTGCCACGAAAAGCTAGTAAAATTGAAACATGGCAATTTTTTTAGATATTTTTATAGATATTTTTTGGAATAGTTCTTTATTTTTCGCGATTTTTAGTTTTTTGTTAGTGTCTTTGGGTCACTTCTCAATTTTATCGGGTCTTTTCGAGATGCGCCCGTGATTTTTCGGGATTTTTGTGAAATTCTTAGGTAACATCCCTAAGATCCCTAAGGGAACTTTCTTGCCTCTGCTTGTATTATTCGGGTTTTTTCATTTTATTTGCAGCCTTTGGTGATTTTTCGGTATATTTTGTGTTGTTTTTTTAGCTTTTCCCCCATTCTTTTAATTCTAGTTTTAAGACTTTGATAAAAAATAAACGATTCGTGAATTTCTTATTCCTTCCAGACTTTTCAAGATTCCCTCGAAATTTTGAGGTTTTTCATTGTATTGTTTTGTACTTTTTATGACTTTTCGGCCACTTTCGTATTTTTTCAGGTACGTGCCGATTTTTTCGGGACCAATCGAAAATTTTCGAATTTTATTCGGAACTTTTTAGTGTTTTATATTTTGCGTGTTTTATGTTAGCTTTTCTTTTTATGAATGCTTAAAAAAAAAGAGAATAACTTACCAGATTTTAAACTCGCAATATTAAAATCCTTAAGTTTACTAATTTTTTATTTTTTTATAAATATTATTCAAGGTCACCGCTTTTCTAATGGGCTGCTTGGAAAAACATTAGTAAAGTAAAGAGAAATAAAGCAAAAGCTCATGGATTTCAAAAGCTTTTCTTCAAGTAAACAGTGTACGTACGGAGGCGTAAGAATCTACAAGTGAATGTCAAGCGATCGTACATTCAATAAGAACAATAAGCTTACCATCCACAAAATTTTTGTGTTTAAAAAAAAAGGTACAAAATAAAGAATACTAAAATGGAGAAGTAAGAAAAACTAAATCAAAAGAAGAAGCATGTGGAACTTAAGCGTGTAATTATTGAGCAGAAGAGAATAAATTCATTTCGTTGCATGCAAGAGTTCACAAAAAAAAAATAAAAAAATCAGTTAAATAAAAAGATCAGCGCATACAAGTGTAAGCAACTGTCGACGGGCAGAGTAAAAAAGAGCGAAGCGCAGTTAAAAGAAATACCAGTTACAATAACAGCGCAGCCGGCAATTTACACACCCAAAGATGAAGTCGTTAATGGACCCACATTTTGACTTGTTGTTGACAAGTGTTCGCACGCCTTTCGGGGTCGACGATTGAATAAATACAATAGTGCAAGCAAGCCTATAAAAAGTGCAAACATTCATAGTTATAAACACATGTATACACATATGTATGTACTTACATATAAGTACACAAGTACATAAGTACTTCACTTTATATGACATCGTGTTGATCTTTTTTATAAGGAACCTTCCTTCGCCCGCTGAGCATGCACACCACTCCAAAACTTGGCGCATCATTCATTTCAGCGACAGCGCCACTCGGTGTCATGTCAAAGGAAGTAGTAGTGTCAAATGCAAACGAGGAGTTATGAGGGTGCAACTTAAGTAACGGCGGTCTTAATTCGATTTTTTTCTTTAATTTAAGCAACGGAAGCGGGTAAACAATTTTATATGCTTCTTTGTAAGAAAGCAGACTTTGCAGGCGCATTGGCGCCGTTGCAAATAATTTACTTTTTTAATTCGCACATAAGTATAACATTACAGTTATTTTTTTATATAGTTAAGTTGTAAACATTTATATGAAATTTAATGCTTCGTCGGCAAGTTGGTTTACCGCGGGCGCGCTAGTGTGTTGCGCTTCAATTCATGCAATAGTCACTGATCAAGCGGCCGTCGCTGGAGCGCATCAAGTGCCAGCCGCACTTCGTTGGGTAACACGCGCTGGTAACTAATTTGTTGTGTCTGAGGTGTTCGTTTTAGAAGTGTGGTTCAATATTTACTGTAATGGAAGCACGGCTAGTTAAGAGCGGTGCTGGCACTAATTACTAATCTCAAAGAAAACTGAGATCTCAAGAATTGAATCGAAATGTTAGGAAAAAATCAATGGTTGATTGAGTAAGTAAATTGTTACCAAAGATTTAGAAAAAAAGCGGAAAAATCCTTAAAAGCTCGTAATCACCCCTTCAAAGTACATTGAAATCTTAAAAAAATATCTAGAAGACTCATTATAAAAAAACAAAAAAAAATGTACCAAAATCTTCGAAACGCAGCAAAAAAATTGTAAAGAGAATAAAACATGAAAAACTAAAAAAAAGAGAACTCTATTAAAGTGCATAGAAATCTCGAAAGTCGCTAATAAAAGATAAAAACTTCTGAAAGTTTTGGAAAGACTCTCAAAAAGTCGAAAAATCTTTAAAGGAAAAAAAAATTCCGATAATGTCAAAAAATGTAATATGTATGTATATCTCGAATATAAGAAAATTAAAAAAAAAAATTCGTAATATCTCAAAAAGTCTCTAAATGCCTACAAAAGTTGTGACAGGTCCTGAAGGAATCAAGAAAATTTCCCAAAAGAACTGATCAAATTCTCAAACAAAAACGTTAGTTAAACTAAAAAGGACTCAAAGAATTCATTTAAAAAATTCGAAGGCATCTGAAAGTTCATAAAAAGTTCTAAAAGTTCCCAAAAAATATTCTGAAAAAAATTCAAAAGCTCCAAAAACCTTGATGGTAAACACAATGAAATGCTTCCATAAAAAGCCGTAAGGGTCTCGAAAAATTTAATTTTTTTGATAATGATACGCAAGCGGTCTACTCCGTTAGCTATTGCCAGTGTTATTAATATCGTACGCACAGATTTAGGAAAATTATCATTACAATTTTTGTTGAAGTAACAAAATTATGCAAAATTTAATTAACAAGTAACCGCTTTTTTGTTAATTCGTACCTTATGCTGCTTATTTGAAAGTTTTAATTTCGCAAAAATATTTAACCACAAAATTTTTTTAGATAAATAATTCCTATTGCATAAATCAAATTAAATGCCAATATAACTGCCTGATGCCTGTAACTGACCACTTTCTTCATATGAATTATAAAAGTATATGTATGTATAATAATTATAGATAAAAAAATAAAAGAAAAAAACAGAAGCCACTAAACGCCATTTTAAGGCAAAGAAGAAGCTGAAAAAAGGCCGGTAAACGCAAAAAATGCTTTCCATGCAATTTTTTAAACAAATTATTGGCTAATAAATGTCGAAATTGGGCGCTGCAGCTGCGCACTTAAGTCTGACTAGAGATAATATGAAAGCTATCGATACTACATATAGCTACCACACATCAGTCAAAGCGAAAAAATTGGCAATGGGAAAGTAGTAAACTTAATCGAATCAGCTGAGCGTAAACATCTAAGCAAGTAAAAGCCGCAAAGTAATGTTGGCTGTGGGTAAACTAACACGAAACAGGTGCTTGTTTTTTTTTGTTTGGCTATGAAGATCTATAGCTTTGGCTTCCATATGTGTATGTATGTATGTATGTACATTAAGGTGCTTCACCAAGAAAGGTTGCGGTATCGCAATTTTCTTAAGTAAAATTATGCAAGTGGGCTATTCCACCGTCACGGGTTGGACATTTGTACAGAAAAAAATTTCTTTCTTGTTTAAATTTAAGTATAAGGTACTCAACAATTCTACATTTTGATAACGGTACACCTAATTGACTATTAAATATATGAGTTATTACAAAATACGAAAAAAAATCCAGCTTACTTTTATATGGAAAAAATCTGATTTATTACTTCTGTTACGAGTGGGATAAAGAAAAAATAACCCGCTTTTTGTAGCAGGTATATTTTACGGAATGTCGGCGAATTTATTTCACTTTTCTGTGCGAACTTGATGTCTTATAATAAAATAAAGAACCGGGAACACAAACAAAGCAAAAACTACAAAAAAATTATGGCTTTATTATACAAAGAATCCGAAATTCCTCTATCACGGGTGCGACAACGTTTGTTACGGGTAGGCCACGTACGAATTTTTATATGAAAAGGAGCTTTTAGTGTAGTCCATATATAAAGATTAGTTATTAAAAAATATAGGAAGCCAAGTAGAGGTTAAATTCACTCACGTTTTATCTTAGGCTAGTGCCTTTTATTTAAAAAAAAAAAATGCCTAGCACTGTCAGCCAGAAAAACTATTAAAAATCAACGCGATTTCCTAGCGTCTTGAAATTTTCACTTTTACCTACTTAAATTTAAAGGGCTATAAAACTACATACCTAGAATTTTTCTAAAAATCGGGAAAAAAAAGTTTAAAATTTTTGGGTGTAATTGTTAAGGTTCGTTCAATTTTTATAATTTTTGTACAAAGTTTTAAATGTGGATTTATGTATGTATGTGGTTCTGGTTATTTGATGTGCTAGGCTTTTATAAAAAAAAAACTATAAACATAAGATTAACAAAATAAAAAACCCAAAACTGGTCAAAATGTAACTGAACTTAACCAGCTGACCACAAGGGTGGGTATATAGATAATGGGCGAGTCCGCGCATATTTTGGTTGATTCACGATTTTTGCAAATGTCTTATCCACACGTTTGTTAGTTTTATAAAGAAAATAATTTTTGCACTGATGTCCACTTTCCCATGGAACCTCGCAGTTATAAAAAAATCAGTTCAGATGAGAGAAGACTTTAAGCTTAAAAGATCTGCTGTTTTTTTTTTTTTTTTTGAATGGAGAATGATGTACCCTAATGTTCATACATATGTACGGATACATTTATACATATTTATGTACTACAGTAGTACATACATAAGTATCTCCATCGATCCATATTCAATCGCTTTTCGTTGATCTACGTTTTTGTAGTGAAGCTGAATGGTAAGCGCTGTATTTATAAATAATTTGAGGATCAAATAAATATATGTATGAGTATGTACGTTTATATTTATGTATGCATGTAAGCATGCATGCATGAATGTTTGAACACGTGGAAATATATAGATAGTTTTGAGTTTTTGTGCTAATTTTTCGCCTTCGTTGTAATAGCTTTCACATGTCTAATTAAAAAACAGTTGGAAAAGTGAAAATTGCACGCAATTAACAATCTCTCTAGCGTTTAATCAGCTTAGATACAGCAATTATTTGATCGCAAGTCATTATTATATTTACGCTAAGTAAAATAAAAGATAAAATTAAATTAAACCTAACGATAAAGGAAAAGAAAAGAATAAGAGAGAAAAGTGTAAGACGCGTTTGGAATCTTTTTTTGCAAAACTTCTAATCTATACGTCTCTATCTTGTTAGGCAGGCTCTCTTATATGTCGTTATTGTATTCACCGAGTCCTAAATAGGGTAATCAATCCTAAACTATTTAGCAAAAAAAATTGCTTTATATGATTTCGATGAGCGGTTCAGTCGCAGTAAAACCAAATGGCGCTTTAAGAATGGAATATAGGATATAAATCTGAGGTTTAGACTCTTTTTGAGGCTCTTATCGGCCTCATAAATTTAGTACGTTCCGACTCTTACTTTAGGTTATTCTTTGGGTCTTATTTAACGCACTATATTTGCAAAGGAATTCGGCAAAAACTTCTTTCAAATAACATACATACTATACAGCAGCTGCAGCTAAATTTTATTAATTTTTTGCTCTCTAATCATTTTCAATTTCTGTATAAAAAAGTTTAGATACAAATTTCGAATCTTTATTTTTTTTTATATATGGCCACAAGGAGCTGACTCATAACTTGGATCCTATGTGAATCCTAAAAGATTCATATAAGAGTAAAAAAAAGTTTGTTTTTGAAACACATATTTCTTACCTAGTACTCGGACTCATATATTCCGAACGCTCAGAATATGTTTGTGGGGCCCTAGTAATAAGTACATATGCGATTTTTATCTTTTGAATACTCGTTGAATTTTCTAAGAAAAATTAAAGTATTCCAAGCAAAGCTCTATTCCGGTTTTGACCTGCACAACTGTCGCAGTATAAACTGATGGATCTATGGGTTTTTCTTTGGTCCAGTATTTTTCGAGACTGGAAAATTACGGAAAATTAGTTGCGAATTTACTCTGGAAGGTACAGTTTGCTGCTTTTATTTCGACAGTAATAAGGATGGAACTGCTATTATGGCAAGAAACCACTTTTTTCTTATCGGATACAATACACGTCTTATCTCTCACCGATCGTAATACTTTCCGTGTTATGCTTAGTGTTTTAAGCAAAAACTGTTGGCACACTTTAATACTTGTGTGTTATCGTAATTTATAACGTAATAATAACTGATACGCCTTTTGCTATTTTCTACTATTTTTCTTTTAACGTTACTTCGTTTCATACAATATAACAGGCATGCCCTCTGGCGATTTTTATAGCCCATTCCCTCAAAGGGTTCATTTAATTGTAACCGCCGGCTCTCGGTGAAATTATCAGCGCAAGCATTTCAGCGCACGGATTCGGTCTTACGGCAGTACTACGTTGCTTCTTCCGTAGTAGTCTTTTAGGTAGTGGTTTCAGCTTCTTTCAACCTCGTCTTCCTACACAAGTTTCCTCTTCAACTAACTCTTCAGAAGAATCAGTATCGCTGTATGGGACGAGTGCGCCTTTAGTTAAGCTCTGCAACAACCAAGTATTTTAACACCATATACTACGTGTATTACATTTCTATTCTTTTGATTCAAAATATTAATCTACCACAAATATACATGTATACCTTTGTATTTAAAAAACCCATATTTTGAAGAAATATGGAGGCACTACAAAACTTTCTAACAAAAATGGAACGATCTCCTCCTTAACCGACACTTTGCGTGCACAAAAAAATGTAAACAGAGTACAATTGGGCAATTAAGCCAAATTTGTTTTCGCTATAACTTTGTAACGGTACTTTGCTGTGTGGTAAATAATCGATTTCGGTCAAAAATAGAAAATCGAACATGTTGTCGCTTACATATTTTGGGCGGTTAGGGCTCGGTGTATGGCACAGAAAATGGGGATTTTGTGTTTGGGGAGTTTGGGTTCGAGGATTTTGATTTGGGGATATTGCGGTACTCTTTTGAAGTTCCTGCAAAAAAAATATAAAAAAATTGATTTAAAATATTTTCTCTTGCTACATACTAGGTATAGACTTTATTTTTCCACTCCCACATTCGTCATCGTTTAAAACGCTTGCACTCACTTTTTAATGAGCTTTTTTTAACATCATACTTCCTATTTTTAATTTTTTCCATCGTCATCTGCATCAGCCTCATCAACCATCAGTATCGTCGTCATAGTTTACATATTTAACTTAATAAAACTACACTTATTCATTCAATTTGAGGTCGAGTTCAGTTTTTTAATCTAATTAACCAAACAACTTACGCTCCCTCCCATTTTGCTACTGTATAAATTTCTGTTATTCGCGCCCATAACGCTGCTGTTTTGCAGGCAGGGTTAGAACCATACTACGATCGTAGTAGATTTACTATCGTTTATCTACGATCTGCTACGATTTTCTTTCGAAAATAATACGAAGAAATAGAATTATCGTCCTCTTTAAATTTTACTCATGCATTTACTTCTAATAAAAGCATGAAACAATGAATTTAGTTCATATCTAAACATAAATGTATCTCTTAAAGGTATTATTTCTGGGAAATGGTATAACATTGATAATTTCTCCCGATAAAAATAGTGGAAACGTAATTTTTTAAATATTGTTTTCCACTCGTTCAAATATGCAATACTTGCTGGATGATAACTCTGTCATTAAAAATTATTTTGGTTCCTTGCTTTCGTTAGAGTCTAAGGTATAAGGTATGTTGGGTAAAGTTCCAGGCACACAGTTGGAAGATAGCATAACGCATTTTCCGTGGAACAAAAAAGAAGGATCAGCAGCTATTTTTGCATACTTAAATAAACAACTCTTTTGGATACACATAAAAAATCTACTACTGATTTTGGGCTCGCCGTAGTTCTAACCCTGGTTGGAAGACACATTTGCTTATGCCGTAGAATAATAATGCTAGACCGTAAGTTATGAGCATAAATTTGTACGAACATTTGTTTGATGTTCTAGCCCAGTCACCCATTGACATTGGCGCATACAGTTCTACTCTCATAGCAATTAACTATCCATAACTGTCTCGTTCCTTGTCTGTCTGATTTGAATACATCCATGGTTACTGGGAGCGTTTAAATGTGGACAGCACTTGCACTTTCAGCACTTGCAAACCGAGAGAATGAGAGCGATTGAGTGAGCAAACTTAAGTTGAGTATCAGGGCTGCCAACTTGGCTCAAACCGTGCCAGTATCGGCACTATTTTATTTTACTTAAAATGGCACTTAATTAATTCTTCTTAATTCTTTTGTAATATTTCAAAACATTTTTGGGAAATCCTTTTCTTTTTCTCAACAAAAGTTTTAGAAGTGTGTTTCGAATTTTAATGCTAAACGGGAAGAGTTAAAAGAAGAGTAAGAATGGCACCTTTTGTGGCACTTTTATTTTTCTATTTCGCACATTTTGGCACTTTTTTATCCTCAATATGGCACTTCATACCAACGTATAATTGGCAGCTCTGGTGAGTATACAAAGCATATGTTAGCAAATGCGATCACCGATCGACAATTGATTAACTGGCTTTGTCACCTATCTAGCCGACGGGAAAACTTGGTTTAGTAATCATTGAAGTTACATTGAAATAAGTTCTAAAAATAGTATATTTTATTGCAAATAGTTCAATGACTTTAAACTTTTAAAGAATGCAGTTAATTAGCGCGCAGTTATAAACGATTTTGTTTGTTTGCTTTGCAATTCTCTGCGGTTATGAAACGTGGTGATTACCGTGTAACTGCGAGTATCTGCTCTGAAAATAAAGAAAATAATGTAGTGAAATTTTACGTACCTATAGTAAGTGTGCAATAAATGTATGTTTTTTAGGTAATATTTGCAAATGCGTACATGTATATCGAGTGTTTTATTACGGACCATCTCAACGCGGTTATCTGGAAATCTTGTGTTGGATATGGCAAACCACTCTAGATTGCTTTCAAAAAGTAGGTCAAATTGAGATGTGACATTGAGATCGAAAAATAAAGGAAAATAAGTGCGTTTAATCCCACTCAAAGTGCTAACTTTTTAAGTTCGGTTTTAGCCCTGATCAAAATTCGAGTGACTTGTCGATATATGACAGCTGCTAAAAACATAAAAATAGTTTAAAACACCGTAAATAATAAAATATTTAAACAAAGTTAAAATTGTGAAAAAATAGTAACAACTGTAAAAAGTGGAAGTTCTAAAACATGGGAACAGTTTAAACTTTAAAACGCGATAAGTTTTATATTTGAGAGCATTTTGAGATATAGGGAACAATTTAAGAATAAAAACAATCCCGAAAAATGGGAACAGTTTTAGAGAGGGAGGAAGTAGAGGAAAATACCAAATAAATATGGTGGAAACAGTTATCGTTTATTTTAGGAAATTAAACTCTTGGCGCTTCTCGCAACATGATAAAAATACCTTCTAAATCAATCATGCCATATGCTACTATTGTTGTTTTTTTTTTAACTGTCGCTCATACTATGCGTTCTGATGCTCTCCTTTCAATTAAATATCACATTGCAGCTGAGCGCGTCCATTTCCGCAGACTTACTGCCGTCCCTAAATTGGCGCGTCAAACGCCAAACAACTGTCAAAAATCCTCATGCCCGTACAATTTGTATGGAGCATCCCACAATAACGCGGCGCTAACGCCGAGCAAATGGAATTTTCATTTTTGACAGAGCGTTACGTATTGAAGTTGGATGCAGAAGACGGAAAGAAAGAAAAAGGACAAAAAAGTAAAACAAGAAGCGAGAATAAAAAAGAGAGGAAATGATAAAACGTTAGACATTACGCCGCATTGAAACGCAACGCTTAGCGCTCCAATTTAGGGACGTCAGTTATGCTGATGACAGCTCCGAGAAATGCGCTCAAGCGCTCATTTTACAATGGCGTTGGGAAGGGAAATTTAAGTACACCAAAAGTTACCTTGAATAAATGAGCGAACAGTTGCCTCAATTTGTTTGAACAAAACAAATACAAATATCGCAAAAACCAAACAAGTGGTGAGTGAGCGCCACTATGCCGAAAAAAACAAATAAATATACAGGCAATAGCGAGGGCATGCGATCGCATTGGAATCAATGACCAACGGCCGCGTGTTTGGTGATGTGGGGTTGAGATCACATTGGAATCAAAGATAGGTAGCTCGCTAAGAGAATATGGGGGGTATAGTGGAGAAAGGTGTTGAAAGCACCACGACAACAGAGACATGAAGGCGCTTGACCGTGGAAAATATTTTGTCTACTGCTTTTATTGGACCGTGACATTATTTTCTTCCATTGTTGTGATTTATTTTCACTTGTTTATTTACGTATATTTATTTTGTTATTATTTTTTGGCTCGTCGCAGTTAAATTGTAAATTTGTTTTTTTATTATTGTACTTTATTAATCTCGCCTTGCTCGATGCGATTCACTTGACACACGTATCTTTGTTTGCTTTAAATATTTATTTATTTATTTATTTATTCACACACTTTACTTTATTTAATATGCAGATTGTCATTATCGCTTTTATCACAGATATTGTTGCTGTTTTTTGTGCTTATGAATAAACCTCTTGTTTGGATATACTTATTATTCTTGTGTAAACGCTCATGTTTTGTGGGGCTTCTTATTATCATTTGCAATTTGGGCCTTTTTTGATAAGCCAATAAAGAGTACGCGTATGTTTGTAAGTAGTTTTGGGTAGGCGAAATACACGTATATGTATTTACATTGCGTTGATTAAATTTTTTTTATGACGAACACTCAACTATCTTATCAAGCGATCTCCACTTGCTACCCAATGCACTTGAAGGAATTGCAAGGCGGTTTTTCCAAATGTGAGGTTCTTTAAAGCGATGGTTAAAAAACAAATATTTTAAGGTGTATGAAAAATTTAACTGGGAAGTGATTTTTCGTCAGCTCCGTCACTCGTAAATACCAATATACATTAACTTTTAAAAAGCTTTAAAAAAATCACCAGTCAATACAACATCAATTCGTAAACAAATTTTTGAAAATTACGAAGACAATAAAAATAAAGAATGCTGAAAAATTAATGAAATGTTAAAGTTATATCAATTTGGCATGTGGGACCAGTTGTTGAAAGTGGGAACAGTTTTTAAAACATACTTTTTTTCAAAATAGAAGCAAATTCTGAAAAAGTATAAATGGCGTGAAAAGTATGAATAGCGTTAAATTGAGAACAGTGAGTTTTCTAGCACTTTCAGCAAAAAGTAGAGAATTTTGAAAAAAAGAACCCAACAGAACCTTTTGTTTTTTTTTTTTTAATTAAAAGCAAATTCTGAAGATATATTTCAACTTATACTTTTCTTATTTTTGCAGTGTACCCAGCATGCCTAATGATCACCAAGTCATAGACTAAAAAAAAAGTAAGTCACACGTAGGGGCAAATTACGCGACCGCCGATTAGACGATCGAGTTGACGGATCAACCAAATAAGAGCACAAATAGACGCAGACATATTCATTCTCATTGTCTCTGCATGAAAGCAAAGAGGCCAATCAGGGATCATATTAAAGCAGTAAGACAGCAAAGCATGAAGGGTGAAGAGTGTCGGAATATTATGGACGAAAATGCGGGTTAACCATCCGGCAGTTAACTAAACTTCACGATCATAATAGTAGCAGCGGAAAAAAGTTCAACAAGCAACTGAGCAGAGAGTTAAGTTGAGTTGAGAATATACTCGCACATGCGGGTAGGTATGACTGTGCGACATTAAACGCCGACAAAGTTGGTTGCTTTTATGGGAGCGTCAAGAGGAGCAGCGCTAGCGGTGGCGACGGTGTGGACGTAGTGAGTAGTAATCGTAGTGATTCTGAAATAAATTACTTGAAAGTGGCGCATACACGTTCAGTCACCAAACGACCCTGCGACGCGCATCGCTAAACACGCACAGCTCATGCGGAGCTAGCGAACGAACCAAAAACGATAAGTTTGAAAATATTATTTTTCGGCTAAAATTAACTACATATAGATCGCAAGTTTAAATTTACATCAACTTCAAATTAATTGTGGTGAGAAACGAACATTTAGGTACAAAGTGGGTGATTCATTAGTTTGGCAGAGCCCAAAAAGCTTATAAAAAAACAAAACTACGTCACAGCTAAAATAGTGCCTAGGTGCCACAATCCAAGTGATCTATGACCTATAATCCCACTGACACGAAACCACGCGCTTTCTGGAAGAGACTTATAATACGCAGCTTGCCAGCTCTCGATTATCGCTTTCATTGCCTCTACCGCCACTGCAAATGCAATCCATAGCAATGAAAGGCAGCGCACTCACCATCGAAGATCGTCGCTTGTTACGTTGCATCCTGCTCGATCTGATTGTTATGGTGGTGCTCACAATACCAACTATCATATGCGAATTTGTAATACAACCCACCCGCCGCGGTTTCTTCTGCAGCGATGAGACGATACGTTATCCTTTTCAACCCAATACCATTACAGCGGTTATTCTCGCCGTTTTCATCATAGTCCTGCCGGCCTTTGTGGTTATCGTTGTAGAGTTTACGCGATTCTACCGACGTGGTCGCGTCACCGAAACGCGACTTCTTTTTGGTTGGAAAGTACCCATATGGATTGTGGAATGCCTGAAATATACCGTTCACTTTGCTTTCGGCGCAACCCTCACCCTGGCTGCCACAGAGTTGGGCAAGTATACAATTGGACGACTGCGACCTCATTTCATAGCTGTGTGTCAGCCGCAGCTGGCGGATGGCAGTAGCTGTGATGCGCCACAGAATATACATCGCTACATTGAGAACTACATTTGTGTTGGTAGCGGTTATGCAGCAAGTGAAGTGCGTGAGGCGAGACTCTCCTTTCCCAGCGGCCACTCGAGTTTGTGCTTCTTCGCCATGACTTATCTTTGCATCTACCTACAGCACAAACTCACCTGGAATGCATCCAAGTTTGCGCGCAACTCTCTACAATTCTCTCTGCTCATGTTAGCCTCGTTCACCGCGTTGACGCGCATAATGGACAACTGGCATCATTGGTCTGATGTGCTTGTCGGCTGCCTGCTCGGCATGGCAATTGCGGTGATCACTGCGATTTTCCTCACCAAGGACTTTAGCACGCCATTGGAGCGATTACACGTGAACTTGCCGCGTCAGGACACAAGCACGACACTTGATGAGATCGCCGTCACGCCACCGCCGTACACGATGCGAAATGGTGGAGGAAATGTGGCGCCGTCGCTGGATAGGAACAGCGCGGGTGGCTTCAGCAACGAACAGTTTAACTCGAAGGTGTGAATGGTGATAAGCGAAAAAAAAAATATTAGTTTTATTAAAGTACCGGTATAACGGAATCAATGTAAAACTAAGAACACTTAAAATGTGGAAATAATTTTAGAAATCGTGATAAAGTTTAATTAACTGATATCAAATTAAAAAGTTTACTAGTAGGGACAGTCTAAAAAGTGGGAATTTTTTTTTTTTTAATTCGGTTATTTCGGTCGTTCAATCAGAAGTCATAACTTCTAGACTGTAAAATATACGTACATACAATTTAAAAAAGATAACCAAGCATGATTGAGTGAAATATGGCTCTAAAAAAAGTAAAAAATCTGTATTTAAATAGTAATAAAAAATAAGAATATTTAAAAAAAAAATTGTAAAAGTAAAAACCATGCCAAATTTTAAAACCAAGGTAGCTCCGCTGAAATACATAAATGGTTGAAAAGTATGCCAAAGAAGCCGCAAAGGGGGGCGGAAAGTATTAAATGGAAGCAGTTTATGTTCTTCAACACACACACACACACACACAAATCAATCAATTGTTTATTGCGTTTTTTGCAATGTTTATTAAACTATGGCTACAAGATATTTATTTAAATAGTAACTGCTACATTTGATTTCAACTTTTATACATTATTGTATTTTTTCGAAAAAAGCTCTTTTATGTAATAAATAGTATTAAATAGATTTTTAGCTACATTTACCTAAAATCGGTTTTGTAAAACTAGAGACCAGTGAGATATTTATAATTTAAATTGCATAAGTAAATATGTATTCAATATTGAGGTTAAATGTCGTGCAGCTTTAAATAAGTTCCTTATCTTTAAGTTTATTAAAAATAAAAGTATTAAAAAATTTTAAAACAAACAGACATACATTTTTGTGTAATTTTCACGGTACACTTGTGGTTGCTGTTCTGCAAGATACGGTTATGTGTGCATGCAGATGCGCCTATATGCAAATATAAATCATGGAATATGTATGTACATACCTACGAATGTATATCTAGTGCAGAAGTACAAAAACGTTAATATTTTTATTTTTATATGGAATTTAAAAATGAGCCGGAAATTATAAAAATAGATTTACCTGCAAAGTGTTAAATAAATAATTCAGCATGTACAAATATCAAAAAAAAAAAACAAATTTGTCATTCCATGCATTCTTCGTTGGCGCACGCTTAGCAACTTCGTTACATTGCTTTTTTATCGAAAGAAGCTCGCAGGTGAATCATAGCGATTATAATTGTACACACATTTGTAAATACATACATTCCGATGCGCGTCATGCTACTGTTGGGTAAACTGCTAACGTAAATGTATGCGTATGTATGTACTTATAAGGGTGAGTACCTGGATGACAGTGTTGCCACAAAAAATAAATGCCAAATTCCTCAAAAACAAATGAAAAATCCTCAGAATCCGAAGAAATTACTAAAAATTTTCTTATTACAGTTATGCTAATTATGTACTACTATTTACAGGTACTTAGTACTAAAAAACTTAATTACATTCTCCAATTCAATTGGTAGGTACATTTGTTCTTGCGGCTCAAACAAAGTATCAGCGTTATTTTTTATGCCTTGCTTTGTATATAATATTGCTGCAACTATATCAGTGCCCAATCTGTTCTCAAGTCAGTCCTACGCATTTTTAAACTAGTAAATATACGTTCTACTAAAGCATTAAAAAAGGGCTATATTAGTAATGCAGATATAATTTTTATATTTTTTTTTTAATTGGGAAACTTATATGAACTTGAGGAAGCTTTTAATTCAAAAACTTTTTTTCTAAAATTTTATGGATTTAATGAAGAATCAATACGAATATCCTTATGATCGAACAGTGCGTGTTCTCTCCATTCGATATCGAGATTTTGAAGTTTAAAATATGTGGAAAATATAACGATTGATTTCCTGGCCGCCATGTTGACGCAAGAGCGAAAAATCGAACAAAACCAAACTCTTTTACATTGTAAACCGGAAGAAAACTAAAATTCTTTACTTGAACGAGTCATATTTGCATGGTGTATGACGAAATGCGAAAAGTAGGTTTGAAGAATGTTAGACAAGCCGATTGTATGGTGTATTTCACTCCTTGTAAAACTTCGAAAATTTCCAGAGCGATTTAACAACTCTGTTGTGTAAAACATGGTTGGACTTGTTATCTGCAAATATATCGAGAGAAAATTCCTCAAAATAAAAATCCTCAAAAAATACTCCTGCGCACCGGAAATTCCTCACAAAGTGGCAACACCGCTGGATGAAACTACATGAGAAAAAAAAGTAACTTGTATAAACTAGTTCGATTGGAATCTTGAAGTTTATAATTGTCGGAGCCAGAAATCAGCCTTGTTTGTGTAAGTATGATTCCAAGTTGGTGTCTTTGGAGCTAGAATAAACTGGGGTACTAAAAAAAAATGATTTTTTTATTTGTACAAGTTTGGTCGGAAAATTTCTTTATAATTTTTAGTTTTAATACTTAAAAACTGTTGGTTTAATTCTTCAGGTTTAGTAATAAGGGAAAGGAGTACATATCGATGGCTGAGGGGAAGATGGACCTATCTCGGCAGACAAATCGAAAACGCCCTATCTCAGAAAATTTTTCAGCAACGCCCTATTTCAGAATTTGGTTAAAAAACGCCCTGTTTTAGAATTTGATTGAAAAACACCCTATTTCAGAATTCAGTTCAGTATGTAGTCCTCGCTTGTGAGAGAATAAACTAGAGAGAATACAAATTTGTATGTTTGGAGATTTCATAATCCTCGCGTTGAGTATATAACGGGTGATTTTTTTGAGGTTAGGATTTTCATGCATTAGTATTTGACAGATCACGTGGGATTTCAGACATGGTGTCAAAGAGAAAGATGCTCAGTATGCTTTGACATTTCATCATGAATAGACTTACTAACGAGCAACGCTTGCAAATCATTGAATTTTATTACCAAAATCAGTGTTCGGTTCGAAATGTGTTTCGCAAACCCAATTGCTGCGAACGGCGACGAATCGACATTTCACGGTCTTCAGCAACACTCTCAGAAACAGACGCAATATTCTCTTCTGTACGCACTGTACGCATTCGTGTGGTTGGTTTAATGTCCAATAAAGTAAACTGAGTGCGAAACTTGGTCACAATCGCATTAATTGTTTGCTCACTTGGTCGATTATGTAGACCATAAATCGGACGTAAAGCGAACCGAACACTGATTTTGGTAATAAAATTCAATGATTTGCAAGCGTTGCTCGTTAGTAAGTCTATTCATGATGAAATGTCAAAGCATACTGAGCATCTTTCTCTTTGACACCATGTCTGAAATCCCACGTGATCTGTCAAATACTAATGCATGAAAATCCTAACCTCAAAAAAATCACCCGTTATGTAACTAAATGTGTATGCATGTATGTATCATCAAGCAGTTTCCTGCTTATTTATTTCTTGTTTCTTATTGTTTCTTATTTACCTTCGCACGAGTACATTTGTTATGCAGATTCCTCCATATCCAAGCCTTCTACCTTTCTACTTATTTAACCAGCGTGTTAACTGAAAGATTTTCAAAGGAGATATATGTATGTACTATGTATATAAGACTGACTTTTCAACTATGTGTAAGTATGTACACTGAGAAAAAAACGCGTTGTAAAAATGAAATTTTTTGTTTGATTACCGTTTAAAAATGTTTGTATTTAATTTGTTTTTTGTTATTTTTTGGCCATTTAACAATTATATTCAACAATTTTATAATGAGCTCGAGGCCATTTTTAAATGAAAAATTTATTGTGGAAAAGCAACAACAATTTGAAAAAATGGTAGAAGTGATAGCTATTTCGGAAATCACCACATTTCCTCATCAGACTTCTTTCAGTAGGATTCGAACCGACGATCCCACTGACTCAGTCAGTTACCCATGCACCGCGCTAAGACGCTTGTTGCTTTTCCACAATAAATTTTTCATTTAAAAATGGCCTCGAGCTCATTATAAAATTGTTGAATATGTTTGTATTTAAATTAAAAAAAAGTAATAAAAAATGGATAAAAAAGCCATATGTCGAGTTATTTCAATCAGGATAAGTCTTAAGTAGTGTACATGCGATGCTGAATCGGCAATCTGTCTATATTTGGCCCATAATATCATTGGGAAAGGTATAGGCAAAGGAGATAAAGTTGTGTCAAAATATGGCGACAAATTTTGGCGATAAAATATGACATAGTGAAAACCAGCCGAAAAATTATGACCAAAATATTCATGCACCTACATATATGTATACACATAAATTCTAGGCTCTCTGCAGCCAAGGTGATCGGTGGCCTTTTTGTCGCGCGGGAAACGCCGTTGAGTGATTCAAGATAGAAATGCGTTTAAATTTAGTCGGTGCCATTAATTTTATCTGCATATTTTTTCAGTAGATTTATGTATGTCCACAGAGTAAATATTGGGTAGGTCGCCATGAAGTTTTCGTATCAATGCGTAAAAAATTTATTAAAATCTTGTCATGCCGTAAAAAGACACAAGAAAGAGCAGAGCAATCAGTTGTATGGGAGCTATATGTTATAGGGGTCCGATTTTCCCGGCTCCGACAAATGATTAATAAATTATTAAAAATACACTCAATTACCAAATTTCAGTCGGATATCTCGAAAACTGAGGGACTAGATTGTATATGGCCATGTCCGCCTGGGCTAAATCGCCTCGGCTCGACGTTCCAGATCATATGCATTATACATTTTCATGGGTCTATTTCTTCTTATTCTGGTACTTAAAAACCTCGGACCAAAGTTATAATACTATTTCATGCTCGTGAAAGGTATAAAAGTGCAAGAAGAGGGTTGCCATGTATGAATATAGTACACAAGTTTCTCTCAGACAAGAAAGAATAGATTGAGCTAAATTTTCTTAAGCAGTTCTTAAGAAATTTACTACAATGGTGTTCTAAAGTTTTTTGTGAAGAGCGAGCACAGGTCCCCCTTTGTTTTCAACAGAAATATGTGCCCATTACTTTGTAAGGAAAAAGCAAGAAATCAGGCTGTGAAATATCAGATGCCAAAATTCCTTAGACACCACTATTCACACACAAGCTATGATAGCAATTTTTTTCTTGAGCATTTTTTTTAAGAGCTTTATACATTGAAATAAGCAAATTGAGCACGGTCTTTAAAATTAAGCTTGGAAGCCCTGAATAAGCAAAATCAGCAATTTCAAAAAAAAAACATTAAAATTTTCGGCCTGCTTATTATCTGATAAGGAAATGTGGTGATTTCCGAAATAGCTATCACTTCTACCATTTTTTCCAATTGTTGCTGCTTTTCCACAAAAATTGTTCATTAAAAACGACATCAAGCTGAATAAAAATTGTTGAATGAAATAAAAATTTTCACAAATTCGACACAATTTCCATTCTTGATTTTACGCCAATATTTTTAAAATTGTTTCGGGTTTTGGCTATATTTTCAAGGTATTTTCCCAAAATATATATACTAAAAATATAGCAGTTGTGTGTTATCAAATAGTATTGCCGTTTGAAGAATTTTTGGGCGCTTTTAAAATTAATTGAAAATCCTGTGTTTGAGGACCTGGCTGCCATTTTAATAGACATATAAAAATAAGAATTTAGCAACTTTTTACTCTGGAGACTTGGTGGAGAGTTGCAAATTTTAAACGAAAAACTTTATTGTGCATTTTTAGGTATTAATTAAACTGGAAAATAAATAAATATTATAGTGTAATAGAATTTGGAGAGTTTTTTGGAGACTTAAATTTTTTTTTTATGTGGTCACTGATTTTGAATTAAGACAATATCATCATCTTAAATATAAAAAGTTCATAAAACTACATACATATTTGCGTATCTGAAAATCCAAAAAAGTAAGGCATGCTTTTTTATTCATTTATTTTTTTAACAAATAAGTTACAATTAAAATTCGACTCTGATGTGGAAGACTTGAACAAAATCACTCAACCGAATAATGCTGCATTCAATGTACATATAAATGCAGTTCGAAACACTGAGCTTTTCTTTTCGAATTCCAATGCCACCACATGCGTGCGTCGAAAACTTAAATTTAAGCAAAACATGAAGAAATAATAAAATTATAACAAAATTACAACGGCTTTCACTGCAACTCAAATACACTTCGACGTACTCGTATTTCCTTTTGTTTTTGCACTACAGCTGCCATTCGTGCCCATTTTCTTCATCTCTCCATCCGCTATGCCCGCTTTATGCCACGTAGCCGTAATTGCGGTATGTCTGATCCTCGGCGGCGTTATTTGGTCCGTGGTGCTGCAGATACGGCACACTGCCAAATGTGTACGCAGGCAATGCCGGTGTCGCCGATTGCGCCGACGCGGAGGCTATGCTGGCATGCGCCATTATTTTTTCCGACGCGGCTAATGTGGATGTCAAGCAACGGCCCTCAAACAACTTGGCCACGTATCGCGCCACCAGTAAGGCGAATAGCGTGCCCAACAGTATACCCACCAGCACATCGGACCAGTGATGCCAGTGATCGGTGACGCGTGTCAGCGCCACAAGCCAAGCCAACATAACAAAGCCAAATTGCAGGAAATGTTTGAGTAGCTTGGAGCCGCGTGTACTGAGCGCCACTTGCAGGTACAGTGCGATGTAAACCATGGCGTAGAATGCGAGTGAGGAGTGTCCGCTGGGAAAAGACTTTGCCATTTCGGCCATCATTTTCTGGCTAAGATCATTTTCGCAAGTGTATTCGGCGAAGTATTGGCCTTCATTGAGTTCAATGTCACAGTTGGTGCCATCGGCCAGACGTGGTTTACAAATGCTGAAGAAGTATGGGCGCAGGCGCCCGATGGCGCGCTTTGGTATCTCGGTGGCGATTAGCGTCATCTGCATGCCCAGCAAATAGTAGCCGAGCCGTGCGTAGATATTCTTCCAGCGGCGTCCGCAGCGGCAAGAGTCGTCGTTGGATTCGTGCGCTACATGCCCATGCTGTTTGCCACGGCTAGGCGATAGTTGTCGAAAGAGTTCCACGGTGAGGATGACGAAGAAGGGGATGCCAAGGGCGACAATGCATAGCGCGCCAAAACCAAAAGTCTGTCTGCCGGTGAAGGGGTACTGCAACGACTCATCGCCACAAAAGAAGCCGCGCTTCTGTAGCGGCATCAAGTGGGACAGCGCGATCACGACGCCAATTAGTACGACAAATAGGAGGAAGTCGATGAAGCGACGCAGCGTTATCATACCGGACATTTCGAGTACAGAGGTGTGACTTCAATTTGAAAAGGAGTGAGGTGCTCTCTATTGTTGGAATTCGGAGAGTATCTGGTGTTATTTGGATTTGATTCCCGTATCCTCTTTTATGCTACAAGTTGAATAATTTTTTATCACAACCCACAATGGCCGAAATTGAATTTTTTTTGGCATGAATTCAAAATTTGTATAGCAATATATTCTTGATATAAGTTATTTTTTAAAAGTACATACATATGTCAACCTTGTGCTTTCAAAGGCAGGTGTATGATTAGCTGTTATTTTGTCAGATTTGGTGCAAAATTGTTAGTCAATTGTGATGAGCTTGTCAAAGGTTGCGTTAATATAAGTAAACAAAATAAAGGTCAATGTAAATATCGTGTGTGTGTGTGTGTTTGTTTGTTATTATTTAATGTATATTTGTAGTGCGTATTTAAAGAAAAGTACTGAACAATATTTTTGTGTTCCGCGGAGTGGAACTAGCAAGCTAACAAGTGATGACGCGAACTAATAATAAAAAAAATGCTTGATAATAATTACATTTTATTTGAGTAATAACAGTTTTCGCTAATTTTTCCAAAATTTAACATTTTAAGCGAAATACACGTATAAATCTATGTATCCTCCTTACATGGAATAAAAAGTGAATTCGGGATTTTTCGCCACGTTAAGCTCGAAAACTACTGAACGGATTTGCCAAATTTTTTTTAGTAGAGGTTATTATTATCTTTGAAAATGTAACTTTCTTTTCAGAATTTATGCCAAACAATTTTAATTTCCGGCCGGTGTGCTACCTTTAGGAAAGGTATAAATAAGGCAATTTTCAACGTTTTTGGCAGTTCACTTTTGGAACTTTTTTCGTAAAATTAAGGTGTTTTGTATTTTGCGCTTGGAGACTATTCTCTAAAGCTTTCGTTCTTATGTTTTGTGCTTTATTGCCGTTTTAAAAAACTTGTGCCTAGTTTTTGGTAGTTTATGACTTGTGGAGACTTTTCTCTCCTGTAGTACCAGTTTACAAAAACTTCCTCGAGTTTTTAAATTTTGTTTTTATTTTTCAAACAAATTTCAATATTATTTTATGTTTTGTTATTTCGGTTGAAAAAAGTGCCAAATATGATATTTTTGCTAATTAGGCATACAAAATCTTTTTTCTTTCGTTAATTGGAATTTTCGTCAACGTCAAAAATCGTACTTTAAAACTTGAGAGTTGAAATGTGCAAAAATTATATGCAATGTCACAACGGCCACCATCAACTGCATTCAACTACAGTTGTTGTACATACAAGCAACGAACGCGCTTATTGGCACCTCTACCGTTACTATCACTACCGATATTTCCAAGACGTTGATTCGCTTAATTTTTGCCGCACCGAACAACACGCTCCACAGCCGCTTGAATATGGACTAACCTATACGTCGAATGAATGAAGATACAAATTGAAATGGGGCCCGCTACTTCAAACACCGGTTGGTGCGCGAATGTACTTAGCAGCAGCAGCGGGTCTCGATATCTCATTGATATCTAAGCTTCATTATGATTATTGCTATTGTTTGCCAGGTTGTTGCTTTTGTTGCTGCTGTTCTTCAAGTTTCGTTATTTTCTCAGAGTTGCGAATACAGTTAAATTTAATACATTCGTAGCAAAAATGTTATCAAGAAACGCCCCGCTACGTCCTTCTCTGGCTGTTTTTCTTTAGTTTGTTTAATCTTTATTATTTTCTTATAAAAATATAGCTGAATACTTAACAAACACCATATAAATCCAAACTTCAAACTTTGGGCAAAAATTATGACAATTCTTCAAAATTTCACCAAATTTTATAAATTTTTAATCCGCATCTATAGAAAAATTATGGTATGTAATTTTAAAGTCTATTAAATTTTAATGTATGGCGCAAATTTGGAGTAGCTAGGACTTACCGTTAATTTTTGGCATTTTTTGTGTGTCGGGGTTACGCATTTTTTCCATACAAAGCATGTTCTACCGATTTTTTACGGTTCAACTCTGTGTTAGTAAGTAGAAATGTAATTACAGTTGCGGTAAAAATAATGACACCAAACTTCGAAATGGTATTTTTAGCAACTTATGTTTATTTATTTATTTTGGAATCGGGCACGCTGGCAAATAAAAAATTCATTCCGACCAAATTATATCGAAATGCACGCATTTTTTACTTAGATATATGCAGAAATGTTTATTACAGAAATTATTGTTACAAATTTTCGTCCACGAGGCGCAGAAATTGCTTAAATGTTCAATTTTTCATAGAAATATTATGGAAAAGCAAAAAAAAAATATTTTTAACGCAAATAATTTCATTGTATAGTTTGATGTTTTTAAATCTGCACCAAAAAAAAATTTTACATTCATTTACTTTCAAAGAAAAAAAATTTTCAATTTTGAAACAAAGCTATTTGGAATTTTGCAACAAAATTTACACAGTGTACTTTTCGACTACAAAACTCGGCGCTGACTGAATATTTTTTGAAAAATATTAATGTTGGTAAATTCGGTGCCCACTTGAGGAAGCCTCACCCTAGTACAAACTTTATGTACGCAGGTATGAAAAAACTCGTAACTTCTATAGCTTTGGTTCGAGATTTTCGAATATCATGACGAAATAAAAAAATAGGTGTCTTCTTTTTTCGACAAAGAATGTAAAAAAATATATTTATTTCACCCAAAAGAAATATTGAGGTGTAAATATTGTATGGAATAATCCATGTATAATTACTGTTATTATTTTATAAATCCATTTTATGTTTGTTTCCTAGTATATAATAAATAAAATTTTGCTAAACAAACATTTTGTGTTACTGAAATGAAAGTGACAGTTGTCAACCGAAAAAGTTTGAACGTGATACATAACTCGAGATCAGTGAGCCTTAAAACAAAATACGTTTACTTCGTGGGAAATTTTTCTTATTTCTAGAAAAATTAACAGCCTCTTGGACAATCATAAATTCTTAAGGTTTTAATTTGACACGCAATTCGTGATTAGAATGTCTAAAAACCTCTTCAGTGGTATTTTCAAAAAGATTTTCTTAATTTTAGAGGAAAATGCAGTTGATTTGACAGTTCTCAACCGTCAAACTATAACTTGTATGGCATATTCGGATTTAGCATTACAACAGTACTACTATCCCGCAGTTTTATTATACATAATAGTAACAGCTCTTCTAATTTTTTGCGTAAAACTTGGCTTCTCCGACTACTGTGCGTCGTTCCAGTTTTTCAATTGTACAAAAAACAGATGTGACTTTGACCAAAAAATTGAAACGGCTCCAAAAAGTTCCGTTAGAAACAAAATAAGCTCAGTAGCAGTAATTTATTTTGGTAATAACATATTTTGTTGTGAAACATTATCTGAAAAATCCTATGCAAATCGATGCATGTCCTTCGATGCATCGAAAAATATCGATGTTCACATCCTTACCGAGAAGTGATAACTTAAACCCGCAAATGTGTGAGTATTTATACGATGATGAAATTAAGGCGAAGGAGAATTGCATACGAGAAAATAATGCCTGTATTTCTTTATTCATTCTGAACGTTTGGAATAAACTTTTTTGTTTACTTATTCTTTAGAACGTTCCTGATGATATGTTAACGTATATTTCAAAAGCATTCTGTTTATTCCGGTTGTGAAATGGGATTATCCGGAATGTATAAAGAAACGCAGCCAATAATGTAAAATCCTTTTTGGCAGATATGTAGAAACAATAACAGGCTAACCTAATATTCGCGGCTTGCGTTTTGGTACGCATGCCGTCGAATTTGTTTTTTTGCGTCACCCGAAATTGACTTGCATGCGTTTGCATTTGATTTCATTGAGCGAAACGTCAAATCAAAATGTCACGCAGAACAAAAATTGGAAATTGAGTTAGCTTCATACGCACGCCGTTCAATTTCGGTTGATCTCATACAAGTTGCATGTGCATGAGAAATTTTTGACAATAAATTGGCGGCGTGCGTGAATATTAGGTTAGCCTGTAAACGGATATGATTCCAAGCAAAAAGGAGCAAGGTAATAGAATCACACCCTTAAATGATGAACGTGACATATGTACATATGTAGCAGTTTTTGCAACTCAAAGGCTACTTGCACGCGGAATATGTCCTTCATGATGCCTTTGGCTCTAACTTAAACAAAGAGTGCTTTATCGCCGTTATGTTTTGTTTTGTATGCGCTTACCTTTGTTACTAGCTGAGGTAATTTTCTATGTATGTGAAATGTATCTTTTTTCTTGTGATGAGTATTGTCCTTGGGGTACTTATTAATTCTTCAGACGTTCATTTCGTTTAAAAACTTCCAATTTTCGGTTTTTAGCTTGTAGTTCTTCACCACCTTATATGATTTACTTCTCAAGTACTTTGACGTCGACGTTGCAAAAATCACCTTGACTTCTCTTCAGTTGTCGAATAAATCTTTCGCCTTTTACTAAAGATTTCCGTGGAGAGGAGTATTTTAATGGGTCTATAACCAATTTTTGATAATGGCTCGACTTTGCTGGTCGAGCCTGCAATGAATAAATTAAAGTAAGATATAATTACAAAGGCACATAAATTACTATGCGGTTTCAATACAAGCAATTTGAGTCATGGATTGATGAATTTAGAATATAGCTTGTTATATGGCACTAAAAAGTGCTTCAAAGTGATATTTGTATGCTAAATAGTTATTTATTTATTTTCCCCCAAAATACCGAAATAATTTATTAAGAAGCTATAAATTAACTTGGATCTTATTTCAAGTCCTAAAACACTCATGTATATTTGCGATCTCAACTTCTCACTGTCCTTATTTAATTATATCTAATACATTCGACAGTCCTACATGCCATTATTCATCTTCCATTGTCTTTCCTCATTATCATCTACTGCCAATGTCAAAAGGGAATATAATAGAGCCACTATTTGAGCTCCTGCCGTTTTCATCACACCCCTGCAGTTATTTCATTTGGCTCATTTGGTTAACATTCCCATCATTTCGATTCTGTTTTTGTATACCCATCGTGCGATTGAATTCAATTTCGTATTCAATGCAATTACAAATTAATTTATTATTGCGGACAACCACCAGCAGTGTTCGCTGGTTTGTGGATAACAACAAGAACAATTCAACTAGCTTACAAAGCGCAAGTGATGCATCGAAATAAGTACACGTACATACGTAGACGGATCTGCTAAGTTTGGGTTTGACATTTAAGGGGAAAACAGAAGCAAGAAGCGCCAGCTGGAAGGCTCATTACTTTGCGCGCATGCGTGCCAACTATGTACGTAAATGTGGCGCGCTCTAGTCAATATACCATTGTTTAGTTAGATTTGATTGTTATTTTTGTTTACAGCAGGTGGCCACTTTTGGACAATCATTTGACAAGACGAAGAAGGTTTTGTTTGTTCAATTTAGTGAAGATAATTTATTGTTGGCTAATTTGCTCTAGTTTTAAAGTAGTAAAAGGCGATGGCTAATTATTTGATAGCGGCAAATTAGGTAGTAAAAGAGAATGTCTATCAGTTTGTGTAATTAACTGAGCATGAAGTTCGTTAAAGGTGCTCATTTGTTCTGTCTTAGACGTTATTTTAACACTCGAAACGTTTAAAGTGAAATGATGGCTAATTACTTAATATAGAATAAATTGAGAATTTAACTTAAGAAGTTCTTTGCTTAAATTTTGAATCAATATACTTTTTAGAGTTGGATAGTTTACGAACTAGCTCATTCGTTGAACTAATTCATTGAAAAGAACGAACAACCTAGCTCGAAATTTAAGAATTTCATAAGCAGATGCAATACATGTTTTAAAGTAATATTTTTATATTAAAAATATTATATGTAAATCGCATTGTTATTGTTATTGACTGAGTTATTATAAAACACGGAGAAAAATTGGTTTGCCATTTTTAAAAAGTGGGTTATATAAAAACGGGAAAACCTAAAATGAAAAACGGGAAAAATATATAAAATTGCATGGACAAAAAAGGAATAGGCTCGCCCAAAACCAGGCTAGACTGCGCACGCCGCCAATTCAAATAACTCCTCTCTACGGAAATCTTTAGTAAAAGTCGAAAGATTTATTCGACAGAAGTCAAGGTAAATTTTGCATCAAAAAACTTAGGTGTAGCAATTTGTTAACTGCAGCCGAGAATTGCAGGCGAAAATGGAAAACAGTTCAACGATAATAGCTTAAAGACAATCATAAACACAAAAAAAAGTATAGAAAATATATTGCCTCTCAGGTAAGAGTTACATTCGCCGCTAGGATGTTGAGCTGTGCGCTACAGAGGATGACTCAAAGGATGCATTGTGTGCTTAGGTAGCCTTGAGCAGCGAAAAATGGTTCGTTGTTGATGCCATTGTATGGTGAGGTTTGTATGTTTTCAACGCAAA